AATGAAATCGGTAGCTTTGTGGAGCGCGTCCTGGATCGTACGCAGCTTCTCGAGATTTATCCACTTTCTGAACTTCGACTTAAACCAGAGTGACTTTCTCAATGCGTCGATGGCTGCTCTGTCACTTATTCCGCTAACCCTAGCCATGATGAGTTTGAAATTACTCGTAAAGTCGCGGAGAGGTTCATCTTCCTTCTGGGATAGACTTCAGAGGTCAGCGTCGAATGTTTCTCGGGTTTATGAACATCGAGTACTGCTTTAGGAATTTTGAGGCAAGCTGGCGGAAACTCCCGATCGAATTTCGCTTAAGTCGAGAGAACCATTCGAGCGCTGCTCCTTTTAGGTTTTTGACAAAGAGATGGCAGTAACCTGCGTTCTTCTCGCTTTCCTTGAGCTTGGCTCGACCCATAGTGATCTGGAAGGTCTGCAGGTGCGCTTTGGGATCGGTCTTCCCGTCGTAAGTCGGCACTTTGAGCTTTCCGGGATTGGGTAGCTTAATCTCGGTGATGTGAGCCGTGAAAGGAGTTTTCCGAGATTCGTTCAACAGTCGATCGATTTCGGGCGCGGCGCTAGTGGCTTTTACCGCTGCGGCCGTTTTAGTGATATAAACGCGGAGTCGCCAGCAGTTTTCCAACCCCGTCGGCGTTTGCTGCGAGTAACTTGAGATCGTTCCCCGGCCGTTTTCGCATGCTCCATGCAATAGTAACTGCGATCTTTCCTCCTTCTTGGATGAACGTCAACATCTTCCTCCGAAGGATTGGATTGGTCACTTGTTTCCAGATTCACCCTTTCGACACCGTCGTCCTCGATCTCCTGTTCGCGAGAAGGAGATTTTTCCGAGTCCTTTTGTGTCGCGTCAGGGTTATCTTTTTCGGAGGCTTTCCCCGGTTGATTACCCTGCTCGGTTCTGGGACGATCCATAGGAGTTGCGAAATCGATTCTTCTTTCGCGGATTCTACTGGTTCCGCGGGGGCGGATAGCTTTGGTTTACGCGGTTAGGGTTTCGACCTGTTTCACGAGAGATCTGATTAGCTTATCCTGCTTGTCCGTCCATTTATGATAGGCGGAGAGTACATCCTGCAGCGATGTGGTGTTAGCCTCAGCGTTAACTGTGGTCGCGTCTGGATTTAGAGTGTCATCGTTTTCGTCATCATAATTGACTGAGCGTGATGTGGTCTGAGAGTTAGATAGATCCGTAACCCCCCCCCCTCCTTCTAGCGCCAAACTGTGGGAACCAAAATTCACACCGTCGATTTCCGTGAATAAAGGAACTTAGGGAAAACCCTAATTTTCCGGAGGTCCCGGCTATCTTCTTAACCACACGCAAGTAATCAGAATACGGTAAAGATGATACAATAAAACAAGAATTGACTGAGCGTGACTGGTTGTTCTTCTGTCATCGTAATTGATCGAGCGTGATGTGGTCTGAAAGTAAGATAGATCCTTAACTCCCCCCCCCCTTCTAGCGCCAAACTGTGGGAACCAAAATTCACACCGTCGATTTTTGTGAATAAAGGAACTTAGGAAAAACCCTAATTTCCCAGAGGTCCTGGCTATCTGTTTAACCACACGCAAGTAATCAGAATAAGATAAATATGATACAATAAAACGAGAATCGAAAAGAGAGCAAAGAGGTTTCTTATTTCGATTTTGCGTAAGAAAGGTACAACTTACGAGAGCTGACGGCGAGTTTCCTAGTTCTAGTAACTTAAGACTAAAACTCTATTTGAGACGCAGCTCGATAACAAAAACGGAAAGTTGCCTAAATGCTAAGTTTTTATGTGTGATGTTCTGAAAATTTTCCCCTTCTCTTGTCCTCGACCTTCTGCTTTTTTATTTCTTCTCTAGGCGGTTGGTCTTTCCTTTTCCGCTCCGGTTCGCGCTTATCGGAAATCTTCCATTTTTCTCGATCTTTCCATTTTTCTTCGGAAAACTTTTATTTTATTTTCAAACTTGATGTTTTCCTACTTCTGCGAGTAATGAGTAAACCGTCATCTTATCTTTGGGCTGAGTCTCGTCTAAAGTCGTGAGTCGACTTTTATCGCGTTTTAGGTCTTTCCAAACTGTTCTGCGATTTAGCCATTTTACGACTTTAAATAAGATTGTTTCTAGATACGATGCCGTTTTTATAAAACATCTCGAGTTAATCGTAAAGTTTGGCAATGTTTGGTGTTTCGTTTAACCGTTGCCGTTTTTTACGATTTACTCGAGGTTTTCCAAGAAAATGAATCTTTAGTGGTTTTTAATAAAATATCTCGAGTTAATCGTAAAGTTTGGCAATGTTCGGTGTTTCGTTTAACCGTTGCCGTTTTAACCATTTACGAGAGGTTTTACGAGAATACCGGTTTTTTATGGTTTTTGTCGTAAAACTGCAACGGGATCGAGACGAAACGAGAGATGTTACGATCACGGTTCAGGGTACGATAAAGTCGAAGAGCATGGGTGGCTTAGTTCAGCTCGCCAACAGGCGAGCTGGTCAAGGCTGGCTAGGCGAGCTGGACTGGACCGTTCAGCTCGCCAACGGGCGAGCTGGTCAAGGCTGGCCAGCTCGCCTGTTGGCGAGCTGGTCGGTCGTTCGGTTTCGATCGTTTTTCGACCCGAGATCTTTGCGGAGAATTTAAAGAGAAATAATCGTAGTCGTTGATCTCGAGATTATCGTTTTTTTATCTTAATTACGGTTTTACCGTTTTGGGGAGTTAAGACGTTATGGTCGCGTCTTGCTAATTTTGCCATTTGGACAATCGAGGATTGTTTTATTTGGTTTCACGAAGATTTCCAAGACGACGATTATTAAGTTTACGGAATTCCTTTGTTAGGGAATTCAATAGATTTCTTTCGAAACTTTTTCGTATTTCTTAAAACTTATTCTTAACTTTACGGAAAGTTTTTGTCGTTGATTATGTCGTAACCGATTTTGACCCCAACATACTATTATCAATGTTTCCAAATAATATATTTATTTCTTTATACAACTATCCATGTTTCCAAACAATATATTCATTCTTTATACTACTATCCATGTTTCTAAACAACATTATAACTAATCATATGTCCAAACATTACAAAATATTCACCCTTTTGAATAATTACTCACAATTTTCTTTCAAATCATTTAAATAAATTAAGAAATTCAAATAATATATAAAACAATGAAAATAAACTTATTTTTATAGGTTTAAATATTACATATCAGTTATATCGGTTCAATCGATCAGTCTCGGGTTTTAGTGGTTTTTAAAGTATGGATATTTTAAAAAATCAAAATTGAATTATTGGGTCACCAATTTAACCGTAGTTCGGGTTGAATTTAAAAAATACTCATTTAAATGCAAAAATATGTCATTACATAAATTCTTTTAAATTACCAAAATATTAGTTAAGTTATTTATGAAATTTTTCATCATAAAATTATTCGCGCTTGCAAAGTTAAGATCAAAGTTAAGTTTGAATTTGATATAACCTATAGAATAAAGGTTAAGTTCGAAACTTTTAGAAATTTGTATATATTATTTTACAAACTTTGGATAATTATTAACACCAGAAATAATTAAACTCACAACTTATTTTTGTAATGCAAACAGTTAAGTTTGAATTTAATTTTTTACTTTGAACAAACATACAAAATTAGTGTTTTCAATGCACGATTACAACTACATAATATAATGTTTGACTCTATTAATACAAAAGACAGTTTTGATATTGTTAGTTAAACATAAAATCGAATTGGACAAATTCGAAAATATATAAAAACTAAATTATTTAGAATATATCCAAAAATATGTGCGGGTGCATGGGTCATGATGTAGTGGTAGCTTATATTTGAAGTCAATGTTTGAAGTGATTTACATAGGATAATAAAACACCAAGCTACTTATATAAAATAAAAAAAAACAAATATATTACAGATAATAAGTTAACAGAGGAAGTATATAACACGAACGTTATTGTTTAATCATTCATGTTATAAAGTGTTTCATGAAAGTTACATAAAAACATATGTCTAGGAATAAATGATTTACATAAAGTTACATAAGAAGCATACATCTAATGTGTACGCGTAAAATAAATAAATTTATAGTTTATATATTTTGATTTATACCATTAATTTAAATTTGCAACAAAGTACTTCTGTTTGGGAACGAAGAAAAAGATGTAAAATTATTAAAACAAAAGATCTTAATATATAACTGAATGTAAAGTTTTTTAGTACACGGTTTCATTATAATCCAAATCGTAATATTAAAGTCAATCCTATCAATATCCAAAGTTGTTAATATGTGATCAAGTAAGACAAACTTAAAAACAGAAACAAAATATTTTTATTTAAAATTAAAACTTACAGAAAGGACGGTGAAAGTTCCTTCTCCACCAACGCATAAAAATCCTCTCACAACCAACACCAAATGGCTACATATCACTTTCGCTGACGACAAGATCTTGCACTTGAAGTTAGAAATACTCAATCCCTCATCATTCATCTAGTTCATTAGTTAAGCAAATGAAAGTATATTATTCTTTAATTCTTTTCGTTTTTTTTCCTGGTTTGATTCCATTGAATATAATTCTGATTAGGTTTGTTCATTTTGGTTCCAAAATCAGATAAAAAGCAAAAATTGAAAAAAATTATTATAATATCATTTACCTTATTAAAACTGTAATCTTGATATTTTTGAAACTTATGTCTCCACTGGTAGAGTTTGTTTGGTTTACTTTCATTGAGGATATACAAAACCATTTTATCTACGAAACTCTGTGATTCAGGTATTGGTTCGGTAATTTTGGTAAGTTTTGCTTATTTTTTTTTCCTTTACGAATAAGCAAACAATAATTAATAATAATCAGAATCGTCCTCTTCACCAATAAACGACTATAATCATAACAAAAGGCTTCTTAATTAAGAACCCTCCACCACTTCTTTTTTCTTCTGAACATAAAAACCAAACACACACCCCATTCAAAAGAGAGAGGAATAAAAGAAACTGAGACTAGAAGAAAAGAAAATGAGCACAGCAAGATTCATCAAGTGTGTGACGGTCGGAGATGGAGCTGTGGGGAAGACTTGTATGCTGATTTCATATACCAGCAATACTTTTCCTACGGTAAATTATGTATTGTTCATTTTTAACAATTTGTTCGCATGAATACTTTCAAATTGATGTTATAATTTTTGTTAGTCTCTTGAAGATTTTTACTAAATTTTACGAATTCCACATTTTTATGCTAAGTACTGGTGATTCATATTCATGAAGAGTATTCTCTTTCCAATGTTTTTGTTTTTATGTGGACGTACCAAAGAAAACAATCTTGATGTGCAATAATATTTTTTACAGACTTAAGTAGAAAGAGAATGTAAATATTTTCATATAATACTATTGGACATAAATCTGAAAACAAAGCTAAACTACTGTATTTTTCTATCGGTTTCCTTAAAATTACCATCGTTCTTATTTACTTATATGGTTGTGATATAAATTATTTTATATATTATATTACAGGATTACGTTCCGACAGTTTTTGACAATTTCAGTGCGAATGTGGTTGTCGATGGAAGTACTGTCAACCTCGGCCTGTGGGATACTGCTGGTAAATAGTGTATTAAAATGGATAAATTGATAAATATGAACACTAGTTTTGGTAATTAGTATCAATGTGGATCACGGCAGGAAGATTATAATAGGCTTCGGCCTCTGAGGTACAGAGGAGCAGATGTGTTTTTATTGGCATTTTCCCTAATTAGCAAGGCCAGTTACGAGAATATTTACAAAAAGGTAGCGTTAAAAAATTTGCATCTGATTTTGGAAAAATATATTGAGTAGAACATTTTGAATTGTTGGAGATTATTTATATTAATTTATTGATTAATAGTGGCTTCCGGAGCTGAAACATTATGCGCCTAGCATCCCCATCGTACTCGTCGTAACCAAGTTAGGTAATAAAACGTTCCCTTTTTTGGTTTCTAAAAATATTTATTAACATTTTATTAAATAAATCCGTCAATCACAAGACGAAACATTTCATAATTCAATAGTTTTAATATGTGCTTTAATTGTGAAATTGATTTCTTACAAAAATAAAAATGTTTATATTGTTATCCTTTTTCAACTCTAATGAAAAAAGTTTGTTAAATATTCATCATTTGATATGTTCTATAGGCTTGTACGGTTGTCCTATGTATCCTTGGTTTTTAATTTACTTCCAATATATTAATATGCATATTCGTTTTCCTTTCTACAATTTTTGTTTCTGTAGCGTATAAACATATATAGAAACCAGATAGCCGGGCAATACTTAGGCCTAACTGATAGGCAGCCCACTGGGGTTATTAATGGGACTTATAAACAATAACCCAGTTGTTACAAAAAAAAAAAAAAACAATAACCCGGTTATGCCATATATTATACTATAAACTAGGATAAGACTTGCACAAAACAGAAGATAAATTTATATAAAATTATTTTAAAAATATAATATAAAAAATCAATTCATATTCTTGACTGAATTATTATTTTGGTCTTTAAACTATTTTTAAATTTTTTTTTTGTAAATTATATAATTTGTTTACTAATAAGCTGATCTCATTTTTACGAGAGCTACACTGCACTACGATTCATATGGAATCGGACTGCTCCGATCTGGTGGACATGATTGCTCACCCTACCGATTGGCCAGCTTTCTCCTCCGAGCTAGTCTCATTCCGGCTTCTACGAGTTGGATTCTCAGAGTTCAGCATTGCCCACATACCCAGGACTAGGAACTTGCGTGCAGATTCTCTTGCCAAGGAAGCGAGAATTAGCGGTGTTCTTTTTTCCCATATAGATCAGACTCAGCCGGACAGAACGTCTCTTCGGAACGTCTCAAGACCGTCTACCACTTGATCTTGAAAGATGGGCATCGACAAAAAAAAAAAAAAAAAAAAGCTGATCTCATTTTTAAAATGTTTTAGGTTAAAATATCACTTACCGCAAAGAATCTAACGTTTGGACAAAAAAATCTCGGATCTATTTGGTTACAATAAAACTATGTCAGCTTGGTTTGATATCATGATTTAACAATTTAAAAATTAATTATGATAATGGGAAGTTTACGTTCACGTGCCAATCCTATATATCTTCAATATTTTTCTCTTTATTTGTTTTTTTCCTTTTGGTTATTGATCGATATAAATACTGATTTTGAAGTTTATTCTCATTTCATTTGTTTGTTTTGGCCTAAGATTTAGATAATGCTTAAGATTTAAAATAATTAAAGAGATACATACTTAGGTTAAGATCTGTACTTTTTGTAGAATAAGTATTTTATGCATATTATGAAATAATAAACTAATAAATATATATATATATATATATATATATTAAATAACTAAAAATCAGTTACTATTATGTAACAAATTGGTGCGTGCATATAAATCTAACATTTACTCTTGCTTATTCGCAGTTAGTGTAAATAAATCAAAAAAATCAATCTTATGTATTGTATATGATATATAATTAAATTTAAATGATATTAACATAGATATATAGCACACTTTTAATATGTATATTTATTAAATGAGGTTTTTACTCATATGATTTTATGATTATTTTCATATGTGTATAACAAATTACACCAACGATTTTATTTCAATGTGAGATGTTTAGTAGTTTCAATAATTTATAAGCATTTAAAAAACAATGACATATTTTAAAATTAAAATATTAACTTTTCAATATATGTTCAATTCAGATATCAAAATATTAGTATGTATTTTCATACGATGTATAGTTTAATTTAAACGATATGAAATATATATATATATATATGTATATATATTAACATAAAACCTATTAAAATTAAATTACTTCTTCATATGCTCTTATAATAATTGTATCTTAATATAGAAAAATATTAAACCTTGATCATAAAAACTTATGTGAAACTCTTAATAGTTTTAGTAATTTATACTCGTTTTGAAAATCTAAAATAAAACATACAAAAAAAAATTTGATTTTTACTAATGATTAATTTAATTGTGTAATTTATATTAATAATGAAGAAATAAACAAAATGATAAAAAGTATACATATTGTTATCAAATTTTTATTGTTTAAAATCATTAATTGTCATTTATATATATATATATATATATATATATATATATATATTAATCACCTTAGCTAATTCTGTAGGTTTTATTTTTTATTTTTTTTTGTCAACGAAAGGCTGATCTATTACTCAAGCTGGACGTGGTCTGGGAATCTAGACCGGAATAGAACAACCAACATACATCAGATCACGATAAAAAGATCTAGCAGTCTTAGCTAAAGAATCAGATGTAGCATTCAGAGACCTAGGGACATAGAATATCTTGAAGTCTGGGAAGCAGATCCGCAATGTCAAGAGCCTCTCCAATTCCGTCGAGAAGCTTGGCCAATCAAAGGGGATACTGAGCATTGCGATCAAATCCTTGCAATCCGTCGCAAAGCTCTGACATGGCGAATGTTAAAACATCTTCTCCATTGCCCACCGCAGTGCTTCCAGCTTAGAGTGCGAAGCCGACTCTACCCTACTAACATTTCGCATCCCCATCAATTGATTATTCCCCTCGTTATCCTTCCAAACCCAGCCACAACCAGTGTACTGATCTGTAGAGGTCAAGAACCATCTACCATACAGATATCACCCAGGCTTATGACCTGGCTTGCATCATCTATGTTTCCTTGCTATGACACGATATTCTGTTCATTGGCTTGAAACCAAGCAAGGCACTCACTCTTCGCATACCGGGCTAATTCTAAAGGATCTCTATCTAGTTCCATTATGGTCTTCTTCCCCCAAAATATGTAATCCATGTTCGCATATGTGCTGCAGTGGAAATAGATTTGAGTTGGTAGGTATATTCGCTAATTCCCAAACCCACAAAGTAGGCGGACATAGGAAGATTGCATGTGCAACTGTTTCTTCAGGCTCTCCACATCGTGGACATAGGAAGATTCTGTAGGTTTTAATTAGAAAAGCCTGCAGAGCAATAAATATTGATATATGCGACCAATGATAGTCTGCAAAATATTATATTGATAGATAGTATAATTTTTAGACTATATTTTATATATGGTGCTCTAGAATCTTTCTAAATTAAATTAGAAAACATAGAGAGCTGCTACATAAGATGGAGTTATTTTTCTAATTAATACAAACTTAAGATTACATCTTTTCAAATGTTTCTCAATTAATATATAGGGGATTTCCTTTAGTTTAAAAAGTGGCACGTAGTAACACTTTAAACCTTGAATTTTTTTGACTAGCAATTTTAACATTTAAAGTGAAATTTATGTCACAAAAACCTTCAACTTTGTTTGCTTATTCATAAAGTAAAAAATTGACCTATACAGCAGGTCGATGTGATGATGTGTCAGTTTTTTTCGAAAACAATAATTATTTAAATAATCAAATAAATAAATTTATATTAAAAATCAGAAAAATAAATATAAAATCAATACAATAATATAAAAATCTGAAAATTTGTTTAATTTTTTAAAAAATAAAACAAATATTCAGAAAATTAAATAAAATTTCAAAAATAAATTTAATTAAATTAATTTTTTTAAAAAAATATTCAATTAAAATAAGGAAATTAAAAAGAAAATTCAGAAAATTAAACAAAAATTAAAGAAAAAAACAAAAAATTAGTTTTTTTTAATTACAAGATTAATTTTAAAACAGATTTATCATCGTTGACAATAACAATTTCAAATATATCACTGATGACGATGGTGGTTTCTCACATAACCATTAACAATGACGTTTTAACATATCTCTAATGATAGTTTTCGACATCGTCATCAAAAATGATGATATATATTGTCAAGATTTTTAACGATGATGTCGAAAACTATTGTTAGAGATATGTCAACGGTGATACTATCGTTAGAGATATGTCAACGATGATACTATTGTTAGTATGTCAAAACGTCGTTTATTTAGTTTTATGTATTTTAATTAATCTAATTTATTTTTGGAATTTTATTTAATTTTCTCAATTTTTGTATTATTTTCTGGAGTTTAATTTAATTTTCCGAATTTTTATGTTAGGTTTCTGATTTTATATTTATTTTTACATTTTTAATATAATTTGTTTTTATTTTATTAATTAAATTATTATTATTTTAAAAAAACTGACACATCGTCATATTGACTTGTTGTATAGGTCAGTTTTTTACTTGATGAATAACTAAACCAAATTGAAGATTTTCTGATTTCAATTTTTTATACGATTTCTCTTTAATCTTTAATCAGTAAAGTATAGTTTGTTAGTGAGATAATGTTAAAAATACAGATTTGAGGGATGAGAAACAGTTCTTGAAAGATCATCCGGGAACAGCTTCAATAACAACTGCTCAGGTATCCTTATAAAGATAAATATATATGTTACAAAAAGTCATAAGTGAGAGTGTAATATTATCAATGAATTTGAGTAACAGGGAGAGGAATTAAGAAAGATGATTGGAGCCATCAGGTACTTAGAATGCAGCTCCAAAACCCAACAGGTATATAATTTTGTATGAGTATATTTATATATTTTACATTAGTTGAAATAAATAGAGTAAATTAAGTAAGCTCAAAAAGGTTATTTTTTCTTTGCCAAAATGTAATAGAATGTGAAGGCGGTGTTTGATACAGCTATCCGGGTAGCGTTGAGGCCACCAAAGTCAAAGAAGAAGATAAAGCCATTGAGGACCAAAAGATCAAGAACATGCTTTTTCTTCTAGTATCTCACCATTTAAATAAAACATATATAAATACACATGTATTAATTTCAGGGATTCATTAGTCATAAACAGCTGTACCTATGTACCTAGATCTCTAAATGATGTGTCCGATCATTTAGCTAAGACTGCCCAATTTTTTATCGTGATCTCATGTTGGTTGTTCTATTCCGGTCTGGATTTCCAGACCACCTCAAGCTTTAGTAATAGATCAGCCTTTCGTTGTAAAAAAAATAAAAAAAATAATAAGAAAACAGCTGTATGTCATATGTTATCTCTCTCTTCTCTCTTGCGTATCTTTCTATGAATTTCTATTATAGGATTTGCTTTTCCAGTTTGTATCGGATTTCATCTCATTTTTTCCATTTTTGGTATCTATCTTCTTTGTGGCAAGGAATTTTATGCTTTTAATCTCTGCTATGTGGACCTAGTCATGGTTATGGAGTTATGATGATAATCAAGATGATTGGTAGTGAATTTAAGGTGAAAGATTAGAGAAACTTGCCTCTGCTATGGAAGCTTCTGATGGTTAATGGAAAGTCTAACTAGCTGATGAACCGAAAGATTTGTATTAGCTTCGACAAAGCAAAGCCACCATGAAAAGGACATAACCAAACCAAGCTCAACGAAGGTTGAGGAGGATAGATCAAGAATTCAACTATGAGATAAACTCGAATGATCAAAGCAGAAACTAGGAGCTCAAACATAAGCTGCCTATGATCTTTCGATTGATTCTTCATCTCATGTCACGTCGACCAGTGTTCATCTACTGAACTGACAAAAAATGTTCTACAACCAAATGTTTTTCTCATCTTCCATCTTTATATGATTAGCTGGTCCATATCCTAAATCACACCAAGAGAACGATGATGGCTTTTTAGGGCACAGCCGCCAAAGAATTTGAGTTGGAAGGGATTTAGGTTTGTCTAAAAATGTGGCTGAAGTCAGTATCTCTATTATATATGTTTGTAACTACAATAAAACTATTGTGGCAAAATGGAAGTGTAATTATACGATTCTCTTATATAATATGGTAGCCCAAGGATTTAGACACAAACCGAACTGAAATTGGCTCGGTTTGCCAGTCGGTTAAATTAAGTTTTTCAAAAATATAAGAATTTCAAACCGAAAATAACCAAACTAATCGAGCTAACAAAACAACTAACCAAAACGAAAATAACGAGCCAAAGCTAGAATCTAAACCAAAATTTAACTGAAACAAAAACACCTTAGTTTTGGACAGTACTATATTAAAAGAAGAATACCCTCAAATTCTAAGGTGTCCATGTCGCCTTATTTAATTGACCAATAGAAGATTTCTGTTTGGCCATGTCACCTTGAATTGGCCATGTCACCTTGAATTGGCCATGTCACCTTGAATTGGTTGGATTAGGAAATCGGTGTTCTCTCTCGCATTCTTTGTTACGTTTGATTTCCACAAAACAAATATCTTCAATCCATATTTCCATCTACATTCATCTTTTCGTCTATTCCAATTTCAAATAACTCACGTACTTAACCTTTTCTTTCTTGCCTTTTGAGTTATTCTTCTCAATTTCTTCTTTATCCTCCTCTTTCCAACCGACAAACATGGCATCTATTCTCAGATTACCCAGATATGTTCACTTGGGATTGAATCAGTTCTAGGATGTCGTCAATGTTTATACGAGGGGGTTTGACATCGATCCATGCAACATACCGATACAATCATGTTTGGTAGACGCTCAAGGTTTTTGGTCGAGTCCACAGGCCATCTTGAATCCATTTTGGGATGCTTCCAATGCGTTGAGATGTCGAAGAAACTTTAACAACACATTCTTCAGTGAGAGGTTATTTTTCTTTTTAAAGCAGCTTTGATTACATAAATATTAGGTAGAGATCCATAGACACCGTCAAAATCTCAAATCTTTCATTGAAATTCTATATGGTGATGCAAGTTTTGGAATTTTGTTGAATGTTAGGTTCAGGACTCAGGCAGGTGAAGCAGCGATGAATCGGGAGGATAAAATCCATTCCAAACATGCAAGATCCAACATCAGTATCTTGGTTTGTCGAGAAGACACAGAGATTGATGAGACCTTGATGGGTCTTCTTGGTTTCTCCGTTGATCAGCTCATGGTATCCCTTTCTTCTCCCCCCCCCCTTCAGCTTTGGTTTTATCCGTCTTGTCCTCATCGATTTTCTGATCTTCTTGCAGGAAGTGGCTGGTCTTAGCATCGCTACTTCAGTTGCTGAGGTAATTGAATCACAATCTTTGTTTTGTTTGAGTTGAAGAAGTAAGATTCAAAAGAGATTTATCTATTACATCAACCCAAAACAGATCCATAAAATGTAATAACAAAGTTCAAAGCTTTTTTCTTTCTCTTTTTCGCTAAGCCTTGACTAGATGAGTCTCACAAGTGGATGATCATTACAAATTTTAATTCTTCGTGTACGATGTTTATCTAGGTTTATAAACCAGGTGAATACATTCATGTTGTAGCTATCTGTGGTCCTGGAAATAATGGTGCTGAGGTAGAGAAGAAACAAAAACCGGAGCATGAACCTGAGTCGGAGTTCTGAGAAGAAAAAGAGAGTAAGGAGATGAACCAGAATGCTTTAAAGGGATAAGATGGAGATTGGGAATGCGGCATACAAGTCCTTCGAAACACTATCAAGAATTACTCACAACCATAGAACTTGATGATGAAGATAAATCTTTATCACAAATCTTCATACTGCTCATTAGAGATGACAAAGGTATATTTTTTACGTATATGTGCATAGTTTTTATGTATATTAAGTCTACAGCTTTTATGTAATTTTCTTGGTAAGTGGTTGAGACTAAATTTGATCACATTTGAATCAGTATTATTAGTGCATTATTGTATCGTTTTTTTGTATATTAGTTTATATTGATTTGTTTCCGAGATGGGTCAAATGGTTGTTGCAGGACACGAAGGTGTATATCAGAAACTTGGTAAGGAAAACTTGGTAAGGAAAACACACAAAGGAGAATCCCAAGTGGAAGTGGAGCTGATGGATAGTGGCCCAGTGGAGATCTCTGTTGGATCGAGCTCGCTTAGCTGGATCTGTTTCCATACCTGTGGGAGAACGTCTATGCGAAGGGGCACTCCAGTTGATTGTCTCTTCTATTATCTCTGTCATCTGAATTCTGAAAAGGTGTGTAATCAATGGTTTCATTAGTGATAGCAAACCTAGCTCAGTACTTCGTTTCATCCACATTTCCAAATTTGGGTGTGCATATTCGAAACAATTTAGTTGTGCTAACTGATCAAAAATGTTATACTACTACACAGTTTATGAGCTGCATGGAAGATGTTATAAGCTTCTCTTTGCATTATAGGACATTTGATTTTATGTCAAAGTCTGTACACTCACTGATATCATATTTACTTATCTGATATTTTCCTTGGACTGTGGTGAAAAGACTACTACCAAAGAGTGGCCTATGTTGCTTGAGATCAAGGGTAGAGCCAGATTAGATGCATTTGCGAAGTTTGTTCGAAAGCTCCCAAATTCTAGGAGTCGTGCTGTAATGGTATTGTTTTTCGGTTTGGAATTTTCAGATTCATTGCTTGAAAGCTGTCTACTTGGCTAAAGTAATAGGACTTGCTTTCCTACTTGATAAACTCTTTTCCTGTAGCTTTCATGTGTTCTTATATATAAACCTTACTTTTATATTACAGTTTATGTGTTTTGTCTGCAAAGAAGAGTGCTGCAAGACAGAACAAGAAACCATTTCTGAGGTATGTCCTTGGTAGTTAACTAAATTTTTGTGTAGGAGCGCGTTATCCAGATTAACTGATCCAGAAAACTGAATTCATATAAACAAATCAATAGTAGGATAAATTATACTTGGTTAATGTTATTCATGGACTGAGACCACTTTGAAGACCTAAGTTTCCATAGTATATAGCAACATCACTATTCTTTACTGGTTTGGTTACTGTCTTCAGTGGTAACAGTTTTTTGAAATTATATAGGTGGTGGATACATACTCTAAAGATGAGAGAGTTAGTTTCTCTGAACCGGTTTCAGTAGTTGAGCTTTACCCAAGTATTGGTGACACTACAAGAAAACGCTGTTATAGCGACTAGGTATTACGACTACATATGTGTAGTCGTAATTAAACATCTCATTTACGACTACATTACGTCTAAAAAAGCATTAGTCGTAAAACAAAGGTTAACTTGCTACCAATTTCACTAGACGTACATTAGTCGTAACATAACGACCAATATACGACCACGTATCCGTGTAAACGTACTGTAGTCGTTAAATTACGACTAGTGTTCGATCACTCGTGTTTAGGATTTCGGTCAAGGCTTTAATGGTAGGTTGATGCTAATTGGTCGTAATGTACGACTAGATTACGACTAAATGATGGACCAATATGCTAATTAGTCGTAAATATTCAAAGCTAGGTAGTCGTAATGTCCCATATAAAAGAGCCATCGTTTTCTCCAAAAGACAAACAAATATTTTAATATATTTTAGATATAGAGATTTTAGATATAGAGTTGAAAGATTTGAAAAAGAGGGAAGAAAGGTACTCGGATCAAAACTCCGAAGAGATCAATGCGAGATGAACGTTGAAACGTTGGTTTCGCATAGAATCCACGGAATTGTGATTCGAGTATCTTTCTTCTCTTCTTTTTCAAATATTTCTAAACTAATATTTTGAAATATATTAAAAAAGAGAGTTGATAATTGAGTCGAAGAGTTTAAAAATCTAAGAAAAAGAGAGAAAAAAAGATACTGGGATCACAACTCCAAAAATATTAATGCGGGACTAACATTGAAACGTTGGTTTCGCTTAGAATCTATGGACTTGTGAATCCAGTGTCTTTCTTCTCTCTTTTTTAAAAAAATATTACAAATATAGTCCCTAATTGGTCGTAAAGGCCATTTGTCACTCATTGGTTGTAATTTTACGACTAATATACATCTAATATATTTTACCACCAATTAACTATTATTTGGTTGTAAATTGGTCGTAA